AGAAGAGTGAGTACAAACTCCTGAAGGAGAGAGTATCATCAAGGATGAGCTAGGGTGGAGAGAATGAATGACTGGGAGAAAGGGACAGTAGTGGGAGATAAGATTTGAAAAAAAAAAAAAAAAGAGTTACTAGTTAGGGGTAGAAAATATCAGGTCATGTAGAACCCTGTAGGAATTTCCTTGTTGGCTTTTCAAAAGTTTGGGATTTTGAGTGAGAAGCTGAGGCATTAAAGAGCCTTAAGAGTTGATGTGGAATTCAGTGACTCACTTAGGAGGTGAGTGACAAGACTTGATTTATACTGTGGTCATCCTGTGGTTTACTCACCTGGATTGTAAACTCTCTGACTCATTCCTGTCAATTTTGTAGTTCCTGACATAGTCTGGATCTCAGTGAGCAAAATAGCTCCAAAGAGCGTGTGATAGAGATGTGCTTCAGAGTTGCAAAACAGTTATTTGTCTTTAGGGCACTTTGAAAATGTCTTGTACCTAGTGTAAATCAGTTCTCAGTAAGTTTATCGTAATACGTTGATATTTTCCATTTGGAGAATCTTCTCATTATTCTTCCCGTTCCCTGCATGCTGGCTATGAGAATCATCACCTTTTTTATTTTTCCACTTAGACTGGAAAGAACATTATAAAATTGCTTTTCCTTGTATCATGGAGTGACATTTGTGTCTATCAGTCATGAATCTAGCTTTTGTATGGATTCTACAGCAGATAAAAATAAAACTATGGCCTTTTTGTTTAGTTTAGTTGCAATATTGCTGGACAGTGAAAATCTTCGAGTAGTTAACTTTTAGACTCCCCTAAACTGATAAATATAAATTCCTTTGTGTTTATTTGAACATAGTCTTAGCAAATAAAATTTGCCAGAATTAGAGAAGTTCTTTGAGACAACTTCTACTTGAAGTCCAAAGCTACAAAAAAGTCATGTAAATTAGAAATTAATAAAGGAGTTAAGTGTGGTGGTGTGTGCTTATAATCCCAGCAACTTGGCTGACAGAGGCAGGAGGATCCCTTGAGTTCAGGGATTTAAGCCCAGTCTAGGAAATACAATGAGACCCTTTCTCTTAAAAAAACAACTTAAAAAATTAGACGTTAATAAAGGACAGTCTGTTTTAAACATCCCCCCATTCAGTCTGGAGACAGGCAACCAAGGCTAAATAGACATCTGTGGGGTGGTAGACCAAGAAGGACTTATGTGGTTGGTATATTTTAATGGGATGGGTCCTAGTTTAGTGTCTTTCCATTTTTAACATGAACACAGATCACTCACTGATTTGTTAAAATGCAGATTCTGATTCAGGAGGTCTGAGCTGGGACCTAAGCTTTGTTATACCTAATAAGTTCTCAGATGATGCTGATATTGCTTATCTACAGACTTAATCATGAGTGTTAATGTTCTAGCAGACAACTTCCTACTTGGAGAGAGCCATTAGTTTACTTTGTGTTGCAATTTAATCTTTAGCATATATAGATTACATGACTGTTCGACACTGAGAAACAAAGTATTAGGAAGAACCAAGAGGAAGTCAAATAATATTCCAAAAAGGACTTATGTGTGCCAATAGCAGCATGCTAGTTGCTTCACATATGCTGTTTTATACTTTCTAAAAGGCACTTTGAGACCGTTGTTTGGATGATGAATTTGAATATGCAGAACTAAGCCTTTTGCAATAACTATGAGGTGTGATTTATGAGGGGGCAATTTAAGTGGTAAATGGTGTCGTTATCCATTATTAAAGGACATAGCCATGGATTAGAATTATAACCCTTCAACAAAAGTTCTAAACAAGTTGAACTTTTCTAAGGTTGTGTAGTCTGTTAATGGCATTATAAAAACTAAAATCTATGTCCGTGATGCTCTTCTCCTACCAATATTATGCTGCTTTATGGAAGTAAATTTTTATCCAAGTCCAGGGAGACATCAGTGTAAATTTTGATGTTTTGGCCACACAACCATGCAAATTAAGGAGAGAGAAAGAGAGAGAGAGAGAGAGAGAGAGAGAGAGAGAGAGAGAGAGAGAGAGTTTGTAGGAAGAGAGTGAGTGTGTGTGTGTGTGTGTGTGTGTGTGTGTTTGTAGGAAGAGGGTGAATGTATGGATATGTATATCCATCAGAAGCTGAAAACATTGTGACCTAAGTGTTCTGGAAATATCTGGAAGACAAGTGAAAGAAAAGTAAGATGACATAAAATGAGGTAAAAATGACCAAAATCAAAATGAGGCAGTTGACAGTAGAAATAAAATAGAAACAATAAATTTAAGAAAAATAAAAAATATTTTTAAAACTGGGACTTTTATTGATTGGACAGGGAAGTTATTCTCTCTCTATTTCTGGAATAGGCATAGAAGTAATTAAAATTACAGACTTGATGATCAGATCACACACATGGATTTAAACCTTGACTTTGCATATTAACTGCATGATTTTGGCATGTGACCTATTATCTTGAAACCTCCCAGAGCTTATAAGGAATTGATGAGATGATATACTAAAATATTCAGTATGATTCTTGGTTCTATATTAATAGAATATGAAATCAGGGTCTATGAGCTAATGATGGTGTCATTAGCTGTAATAGGACTTTAAGGATATTAATGATGATTTTGAGGAATATGAAAAGGCTATAAAGAAGTTACAGAGACTACTGTGTACATGTTTGTTGGAGTACTATATTTTGTGACGTATGCATGAGGTTCAGAATTGGGCCACTGGGTTAGATTTCCAACTGGACCTATACCGACAGTCAGTTGGGTTGGAAATTATGATTAAAAGTCATAGGACAGGAAGTATGAACAATATAAAAGGGAAATTATGTCTACTCTTCTTTTGCCTAGAGTCAGCTTCTATATCTATAAAATATGGACTACTGAGTAACAACAAATTAAGGTTTCAGGAGCAAAAAACAGGGCTAAGAAAAAAATGCAATAGATACAATGTAAGAATCAGCGAAACCATGTGAAGACCAAGTGAGCAAGACTCAGAGACTTCACACAGACCAAACCTGAAAACGCAGAGTCTAAGGAAAGAGCACTAGGAAAATCTGAGAGAAAAAATAGGGCAAAATCATTGTTGAATTTTCAGACAACCATCAATTCCAGAAAACTCATAGGAACTAAGGAGCAAAAAGACTGGTGGAGAAACAGATCTGAAGCAACAGTAACTGACTCTAATACTGAATGTATTTGATATCCAGCTAACCAGAGGTGTTTCTCTTCTGATGTCATACTGGAGGGGATTTATCCCAAGACTGATGATAAAAGGCTCCTGGCCAGGATATCCCCAAACATCTGCTTGTAGGCAATAAAGAGACCAGATAGTTTTGTTTCTCTGGCAGAAAGATTCTCCTACCACATCAAGTGCTCCTGGACAGATTTTGTCTCTGTTTTTGAGTCATTCTGCATACTAAACCAAGCTCAGGGCCTAAAGTCCCAAGTTGCTTTTAAACCTTGTAGCCCCTGAGCACTGGAGTTATGCTTATTTCCTGACTCAAAAAAAGGAGTAGAAGAGAAGGATAAGGTGCAGAGCTAAGAGAAGAAGGAAGGAAAAATGAAGCAGGAAGTCAAATGAAAAAGAGACAGAAGGTGTGGACAACTTAGGATCGTGGCCCAAATGCCAGGCCCTCCCTTGTTATAGTGGTTACAGAAATCAGGAACTGACTGGGCTTTGTTTTTGTGCTGCACTTACTAGAGGAATATTACCCTCTTATGCATACTCAGTGGCTTGACTTCATGCATAATTGGATGTTACTTGCTCATTTTTTTCCCCCTTGAGAGAAGTCAGAGAGATAAGTGGAAGATATTTCTCAGCCTGAGGAAGAAAGACTTTTCTCAATCTGTATTTCCCCAGTTGTCATATACATTAAAGACAACTGGGAAAATATCTATTGAAAAAAAGCATTGCGGAGTGACATTTATTCAAGACTCAAAATATATCAGGTGCTTTATAGAGCAGAGAGATAGATGTAGTCCCTTAAGGCTTAACTTGTGAGCATCAGCATTGACTGAGGAGAGCTAATTCACTATTTTTCGAAAGGAAATGGAGTTGAGAAGAATGATAGCAGCAAAATGCTTAACCAGACAGAATATCACAACTTTTTATCGAAATATTGTTTGGGAAGTTTTTGCAAACATATCAATCATTTTGTGACATTTTACAGTGTAAAAAGATTTTGGTGCTTGTGAAACATCATTTTGAAATTAGCCCAAATTAGAGTTCTTGCTCTTTGTCTCTTTTTGTCAAATCGATGTTGGGTACAAGTTTAAAAATCTTGAGTGACTGATATATTAACCAAAACTCTTTTGATTGTAAGTTACAAAAGTAAACCTGAGTTAGAAAAAAAGAGAAATCTAATTTTTTTTTTTAAAGGAAATCTTAGGGAATCTCAGGATGGGAAATCCAGTGAGGCCCTAAGAATGTTGTTTTGGGATTTGATTCTGAGAAGCCCTCAGGCGTCCCTTCTCTAGGCCTCCATGTTCTTTGCTCTGTTTTTCTTGATCTCAGCATATCTGCTTTTGAGGTCAATTTTTAGGGTTTTCCCACAGCTCCTACATGACATATTATAATTTCAATCTTCCAAAGTAACTGTAAAGCAGTTTAAATCCCTGTTTCACGTTCTCGGGAGAAAGAATCCATTTGTTACCACATCCCACCCTTTAAGTCAGAAAGCAGAAAGGAGATTCTTATTGATCAAATGAAATATTTGTTGACCAATGCACTAGCAAGAATATAACATGTTTGACTAGATAAATTTAAAAAATTTTGCATTTTTAATGCCACAATAGTAGATCTTTATGAATCCCTTGCTGTAATTGTTAACTTCAAACTAGAGTGACATTAGTTAAAATCATTCTATTTCTGGGCTATTTTTAAGCATTTGTGAAGTTATTTTATAAAATTGTGTGAGACTATTTGAACAAACTAACAATATACATATTTATTCATTCTGATAATGTTTATTTCTCTATTTGTTTGAAATTTATTTGACATTAATGAAGACCAAGCCTGGAGTAATTCGCCCAGTACCTGTAAAATCCAGAATACTACTGAAAAAAGAAGAAGAAGTCTATGAGCCCAATCCTTTCAGTAAATACCTGGAAGATAACAATGACCTCTTTTCTGAGCAGGTGAGAATATACATAAGAAAACATTTGATAATTTGATAAAAGACTATATAAAATATATCTGCCTCTATGATTATAGTATGTGTAAGAAAATGTTCATTTTCTTGGAGTACACTCGTTGATAAAAAGAGCATTTTGTGTAATAAACAGGAATTCTTAGATAATTCAAGGATGATATTTTGAAGTGTTTCATTTTTTTTTTCTGAAATTTTTCTACCTACTGCTTGTTTTCTTTTGGGGACTGAGGCATTACTCTCCATGGAGACGTCATGAAATCACTGATTGGATGAGTCATATAGATGTTGTATTCTTATTTCTAAAATCTTGCTTTCTTTTGAAGAGATGCAATATTTTGGATTTGATATATTAGAATAGAGGCCCTATCATTTGGATTCAAGTTAACATAGAGATGATATGATCTTCTAGGTTGAACAGGACTAGTAACAGAATTGGGCCTCAAGTCATTTTAAGGTTTGTTGTTCATTTTAAGATTTGTTTATATGTAAAAAATGTATATTATATTCCCCTTATATATGGAGGAGGTACAATGGAAAGCTGCCAATAGTACTTTATAAGATATTTGGGAAAAATATGAAAATATACATTTATGCAATATAAAACTTTATAAATAATAGCAGAAACTTTACATCTTTATTTGCCTTATTAAAATGCAACAAATAGGCATGGGCTATGTATGTTATATCTTAAATATTATTAACTGGAGAATAAATCATCCAGAAAACTGTCTGGATAAAATGAGGATATGTATGATCATCATATTTTACGATCTATAATAAAATATACTTGTAAATAAATATAAAGTGATATGCTCTTTTAAAATTTTAGTTTAAAAATGATAATAATATTCTTGAAAATATAAATTACATTTATAGTCACAAAACATAGGGGATATCTTATCAGCCACATTAGCTCTATAACCTGGGCAAATGGTTTCATCTTTCTAGGGTCAGTTTTTTTAATGTGTAGAATGAGTCATTCAGATAAGATACTTTTAAAAGATCCCTTAGGCTGATGACTTAAAATCTACAATAAACCCTAGTTTAATCTGAAACTTTCGTACAGCCTTGAAAACGTCATTAAAAATGCTTTCCTATGATTAATCATTGTTTTCATTTATTAAGAGGAAATGAAAATATTTTCTGTTGTTTATATATACTTTATTGGAGGGCTATATTTTTGGTAAGTATGAATTTCTTTGAAGGTAATAATATCATTCAAAATGATAATTAGAGGTAATTATTTTCATTTTTGCAAAATAAAATATAGTTCTCAAATTAAAATAAATAAACAATCTAATTGATGTATAAGGTTGAAGTTTAAATGACAATTTCTGCTAGGAAAGCATATTTTCAACATCATCAAAAACACTTATGAAATATTTATTGTTTGCATGACACTAATATTTTAGAGGTTAATGTGAAGTTTTAGACAGTATGGGATTATTATAAAATGTTTATAAAAATAATTTAGTGCTGAGAGGAAAACAAACTGCCAACAGTTAAAATAAATTTCACATATTGTCCATGAAACCTACATTTTCAAAATGTGATCTAATACTATAAAACAATAACTATTCTTTTGTGTGAGTATAATTTTAAATTTGTGCATTTTTCTCAAGCAAGCTATCTTGTAGAATATCAAATTAATCCACCCATAATTTATCATATGTACTGTCTTCTAAATGATAAATTGCATTTTTAAGTGCAGGAAATTCTTGCCATTTAAAGGAATTGCCATTTCTTTTCATTGCTTTTCCTAACTATAAAGTAAGTTTAAAACTCTGTTTATGTTACAACATAAATCTATTTTTTCCAAATACTTTGCTGAAAATTTGACCACTCTTGCAAATATTAAGTTACCACAGACATAATCTTATTTATATTTTCTTCCAACCAATTTATTCTTGTTTGTATCCCACTTGAATGTAGAATATGAGGAGTAATTGCAGTCAGCAAACTGTTAGAATGGAAAGAACCCTAGCATACTACTTAAAAGTGAATTTCAAATGTCCCCTGGTCTTTTTCATTGACCTTGAATGAGAGGGAAAAATACGATAGAAGCTTGCGGCTATGGCATACCTGGGAAACTGCATGTACTGTCAACTGGCCTTTTTATGTTAGCTCTAACTATCATCCCATTGTGTCCAGAATCTATAATGAAGCAGATACCAAAGACAGCTCACAAAGGTAGATGCTTAGATCTACTTAAAAACTAAATTGAATGATAACAATTTATAATCTCAACATTGCTACTTCATCAGAACCTCAATAGAAGAAAGCATACTCAAATTCAGTTCTAGCCACTATTTTGTTCTCTTGCATTGCTGCCACAGAATAAATTGAATGGTTTCAAACTCAGTTGATCTCACCCACCCATGTAATGGAAAATTCTTTAGCCAGACAGTTGGGCCAAATTGAAGCAGCTCACACTCACTAATCTGCCTTGTACTGGGGACAGTTCCACATGACGGGAGATGTTGGATGGGTCTGTTAAGTAAATAAATTTTTTCCTAGCAGTTTTACTGCCATAAAATATGATTTCAAAACTCTGTTACAAAATGCCAGACACTAAAGATGATGAGACCAGACAGAAATATATTTACTGTAGCTCAAAAAAAGTACAGCATGACAGCCTTTTGAACTGATCATGTACTGAAAAATTTGCCTGGAAACAGCCTCTGAGTACTAACAAGTTTGAAACCAAATGCATGGTTAAGTAACCAACACTTATTAACCAACAATTTTTACATCACAATGGCATAGACCAGGAAGCATCATTCTATATTGGAATTTTTTTTAAACAAAAACCCTTTAGAACAAAGATTATGCTTTTCTGAAATTGCTTTCCAATCCATTATTGTGTCAATTTGTGGTTCTTTTGAGTTATTACAAAATATACTCACATTCTAACATAAATTTATGGATTTAAAACTATGGTGATGTGCTTTGAGGAATATTTCTTGATAATTAAAGGTAGGGTTGGAAAATAAGTAGCAGAATTGATTGAATAAATGGGCATCTAGAAGACACAGAGGTTCAGAAAATAAATTTGCTGATGAGAATTAAGATACTGAAGAGTTGAATGAGCTTTAGTTTATTCTGGCTACTTATGAGTTTGCAAAAGATTATTTTCTGATCATTTTATGTATCTATTAGATAAAGATGATTTATTCACTGAAGGCCTTCAGTTTAATATCAAAAGCAATAACTAATTTCAGTTACATAAAGTGCAATGTAAAATGTTATCTCTCTTTCTTTATAAATTAATCATCCAATCCATAATATTGGATATGTTATTACTGTCTTAAAGCCCTAGAGAAGTGTATTTTAAAAACTTTTGGATAGAATTAAAGAGAGAATATAATTTTATCTGATGTTCCCAGAAATATATTCTTTATGAGAAATAATACTTTCCAGCATTATGGAATATGCCTTTAAAATTTTTTCTTCTAATCTGTTTTAATGAAAGAAAGAACATGTTTTTCTATAAAAATGACCATTTAGAGAAGTTCCTCCATATTACCTCAGAAAACATAAAAGGGTAGCTATAGGGAATTTTCTTCCTTGTAACATTTTTATTTTTTTTTCTTCTGATTTTTCTCACATGTCTGACTTGCCTCTTTTCTCTCCCAAATTCTCTGTTTGACATTCAACTTTGATGATTATGTGAGTGACTTTCAGATTTCTATCTGATGATTCATAAAGGTATATTTCAATTGTGATCTTCAACTTCCCTTTTTCATGTCACCCACATGTTGATTCTAAGAGCAAATACCTTTGTCATAAGTGAAACTGATAATATAACCTTTTATTCTGAGTGAACATTTGTTTCTTAATCAGAATGTCTCATGTTCTTCTGCCATAATATAATCTTTTATCATTGCAAACCTTTTATTAAGAAATATATTTTGGGTGAAATGTTTAAATGGATGTTTTTAGGTCTAGAAATGCTTAGGTGTCTTGCTAGATTGTTTTTAGGAGAGACAAACTAAAATTCCCTATAGTGATACATTTCTTAGGGAAGGTTAAAGAACAGAGACTTAGCTTCTCTAAGTTTTTTTGTTTTTGTTTTTGTAATGAGATCCTTGTGAGTTTTCCTCTACTTCTTCCTTCCTTCCTTTCTTCCTTCCTTCCCTCCTTCTTTCCTTCTGTATATAAGAGGTAATATATAATTTATCACAAACAGGTTATGGGCTACATGCAATAGATAATTTATCATCAACAAAATAAGCAATCTTTATTCAAGAAAGATTTGCCATTGCCATATTTAGAGCCTCTCATGCAAAGTTCACTCTCATTTTAAAATAAGGTCTTGCTAAAATATAATTTTAAAATTCTATATTGATTTTATCTGAAAAGTATTAAGCAACAGAATTTCAAAACAGGACACCATGTAGAAATAATTTTAATTATATCCAAAATAAGTGTTATTCTGAGATTAGAAAGTTACACTTTTTATTTGTTGGCAAGAAAAAAGATGCATTCTTGGGTTTTACTTCACTGAAGTCTCTATTTGAAACTTCTTGAACTTGAGTCAAGGTGAGCCTGTGTCTAGAACCGTAGGTGGTAACAGTCACATGCCTGTGGGAGTAGTTTTGTCTTATGGTACATAAAATCCCTTTTTTTAAAAAAATATTTTTTATTATGATGTTGTGGGGTACAATTAAGGGTTAGGTATACAATTACGTTCTATTCAGGCACCCTGTTGATAAGAGGTGTTTCCCCGTCCCCAGACAGATATTTGCTACTGTTAATCCCATCTCCCCCCCCCATAGTTTCCCAGTACCATCAGTCATTTTCTTATAGTATTACATTGGATGTTCAAGGTCCATTATATGAGTGAGAACATGTGATACTCGGATCTTTGTTTCTGTGAGAGGTCACTCAGTATTATAGACTCTAGTTCCATTCAGGTTGCTGCGAAATTCATGATTTTGTTCTTTTTTATGGCTGCATAGTATTCCATCAAGTATATGTACTACA